GAGCGGCTCTGAGGGACTGGGCTGCGGGACGGGGGGCAGCTGTGAGGGGACGGAGAGCAGGTCTGGGGGCTCCAGGGTGACTGTGAGGGGTCAGGGGGTGGCTCTGGGCGGCTGGAAGTGGCTGTGAGGGTCCATGAGAGGTTGCGAGGGGATAGGGAGCCATTCTGGGGACCTGTGGAGCGAGTCTGAGGGTCCTGGAGTGGGTTAGGGACCAGGAGACGGCTACCAGGGGAGGGGAGGTAGCTCTGAGTGGGCTGAGAGTGGCTATGAAGGTCCTGGAGAGGCTGTGAGGGGACGGGGAGCAGGTCTGAGGGTCCTGGAGCAGCAGCGGGACCGGCTGTGAGGGACCTGGGTGGGAGTGAGGGTCCCAGAGTGACTGCGGGGCCGGAGAACAGCTGCAGAGCCCCAGGGAAACAGCTGCCGGGGGCTGGTTCTGAGGGGCCGATTTCCGATTTGAGGCTCTGCGGGTACATGGCCCTGGGCTCAGGGAGGAGGGAGCCGGCGCTGGGGCCCGGGGACACAGCTGAGGGCTCACAGACCCAGCCCAGGGGAAGGGGCGGATGTGTGGGGCTGAGGGGTCTGGGGAACTCGGAGTGTCTGCCCTGGGGGCTGTGGAGGACGCCTTGGCCTCCCCTGCCCGGGCACGGCAGTAACTCCAGGGCTGGCGGTGTTGGACACTGTCCCACTGGGCTCTGGGCCCTCTGGCCAAGATGTCACCTAGGCGCCGCGGATGACCTGGCATCCCACTGCCGCACAAAGGGCGCCGCGCGCAGCCCTGCGCTGCCAGCACCCACGGACGGGGCGAGTGCCAGCGCTGCCTCGAGCCTTGTGTGCCAGCCAAGCGGCGATGAGCCTGGCAGCCGGGCAGGCTGCGGAGGGGGAGCGGGAGAGCCAGCCCAGGCCAGGGCCTGCCCTGCCCAGGGCTGTGCCCATGGGTGAGGCTGGGACAGACAGCCCCTTCCCACCCCACGGCATGGAGGAAGGGGAAGATGTAGTGGGCACAGGCACAGGAGAGCAGTCAGCCCTGGCAAGGGAGTGCCGCCTCCCCAGTGTTCAGCCTGTTGCTGTGCCCTGTCTGCCCAGCGGAGGTGGCTGCCAGCCCATGGGAGCTCGTGTGGGATGCCCTGGCAAGGCGCTAAGAAAGGGAATTTGTCTGACACATGCCTCTCAGTCTGTCTCTGAGCCAGCGTGACGGGTGTGACATTTGGGCCATGTCCCCTTGCTGTCCCCTGCAGATGTGCAGCCCCTGAGTGCACAGGGCTGTGAGCAGTCTAGCCCACTGCTAGGTTTTGCCAGAGGGTTCACATCTGAATATTGATGATGGACCTACCTTTGGCCGAGAGCTCCCCAGCAGGGGTTGGCACCAGGCCTGGTGAGGCACAGGAGGCCTCAGGATCCAGCAGGGCAGAGTACGAAGGGCATTTTACTGCCCCTCTGGACCTTGGCCCCAGCCAGCCAGCCTGGACAGTGCTTGTGCCCTTAGGCCGGCTCTCTGCAGCCACCAGCCACCCACGGGTTGCTGGCTGTGCAACAGTGACCACGGCCTGGCCAGTCCCTCCCCTGCCCGCCTGCCTGCCCTTCCTGCAGCCCTGGGACCGCAGGCAGTGGAGCGCATCCCAGCATGACTCTGCCTGACCTGCCTGCTCATTTCCTCTGCCCCAGGCTGCCTGCAGCCTGACACTGGTCCCTGACACAAGCTCTGGTCCCTGGCATCCAAAATCCACCTGCCAGCATTGAAGGCAGGCTCCTGCACCCCTGCTGATGCCCCGCGTGGGAGACAGCGGCTGTTCCCAGCATCCTGTGGTGTGTCTCACGGCCCAGCTGTGCTGGGGCTTCTGGAGCAGGAGCCAGGCCTGGTCCCCCGACAGCAGCTCTTTACTCTCCTTATCTCCTGGGGCCTTTGACCTACATGTGGTCTTTGCAGCACTCAGAGCATGCTCCAGCACCAGCTGACACAGCTCCCGTGCGTCCAGGCCGGCCCCCCACGACTCCCGCTGCCATGCGTTGCCCCTGGTGATGGTGGGAAGTGTTGGGCTGCTGCAGGAGGGAAGGAGAGCATCTGGCTGGCTGTGGGTTCTCTTCCTGCCTCTGCGATTCCTGCGCTGGGGAGGAGGGGAAGTGGCTCCGGAGGCCTGACACCCTGCCCTGCGTGGCTGTGACTTCACTGACCCGACTGCGTCCCTCTGAGCAAACCCATACTGGGCACTCACTCGCTCAGGTGCTGCTGGACCGCCCCACCCTGAGGTGGGCCAGGGTCTTTCTGGGAGAAGCAGGCGCCACCCCTCACCTTGGAGATTAATGTTGAGGGCAGGGCCTGGGAAGGGCTGTGGGCGGGTACCTGGGCACTCTCCCTTCCCTCACTGCCTCCAGCCCTCTGGTGCTGGGCTGGGCCAGTCTCCAAGTCCTTTTCAGGTGTGGGGAGCCTGGAGCTGTTGCTGTTGGCTGCTGGGCGCTGCTGACGCGTTAGCCTGACACGTGCTCACGTTCGTGCCCACTCTGGTGCCTGGTGCACTCCCGTCCCTGCCTAGCCCAGCGCTGAGCTGACGCTGCTGCGTTCTGCCCCAGGTCCACCTGCAGACACAGCAGGAGGTGAAGATGCGGATGATGGGGATGGCGATGCATGTGATCCGCACCGATGGCTTCTTTGCTCTCTACAATGGGCTCAGCGCCTCGCTGTGCCGGCAGGTGAGTGCCACCGTGCCCTGCTGGCCCCTGGGCCCCGAGGCCAGCGCAGAGCCCCTGCTGTGCTGCAGAGCCCCAGGAGCTGACGGGCTGCCCTGCACCAGGGGCACAGCCGCTCATTTCCCTCTCCTCCAGATGACATATTCCTTGACTCGCTTTGGCATTTATGAGACCGCAAAGAAACACCTGGGCCAGGGCAGCCAGGGGCCTCCCCCCTTCTACCAGAAAGTGCTGATGGCTGCAGCAGGAGGTGAGCCAGGCAATGGGGCTTTCAGCCCTAGCTCCCTCAGGCTGGACACTCCCCTGACCCAGCTCTTCTTTTGCCACAGGTTTCACTGGTGGGTTCGTGGGGACCCCGGCTGATATGGTGAACGTCAGGTCAGTTCTGTCTGTATGACAGGGGTTGTGGCCGGTGCACAACAGCAGTTGGAATGGTGGGAAGTGCTGGGTGCTCCCGTCATCATTCCTGGCGAGCCTGCCCAATGGTCAGTGGCCCAGGAGCTCTGTGCTCAGGATGACTGGAGCTGTTCTGCTGTTTGGTGACAGCCCCTTGGGGGGAGTGGGGCTGGAGGCAGCGTTCTTGTCCATTTGCAAACGGGCAACACAATCCCACTACCCCGGGCAGGAGTCCCTGGTGCTGGGGGGGACAGTCGGCCACCGGCCCCCCCTCACCCGCGGTGCTCTGCCTTCCAGGATGCAGAACGACGTGAAGCAGCCGCCGGCTCAGCGGCGCAAGTGAGTGGGGGACTGAGGCGGGGAGGGGCGTGAGGCAGAGGGTTGGGGAGCTGTGGAGCCCTGAGGGCTGGGACAGCGGGGAGGTGGTCGGAAGGGACCGGCGCTCCCGGGGCCGCGGGGTGGCAGCACCGCACCGGCACCGGGGGCGGCGGGATCTGGGCCGGGGCCGCCGCTCCGGGAGCCACCGGTGCCCGCGGAGAGCGGCGGGGCTGCCGCCGTGCTGGGGAGCCTCGGCTCCTGACCCCTTCCCCTCTCGCTCCTTCCAGCTATTCCCATGCCCTGGACGGCATGTACCGTGTCCTCCGGGAAGGTGAGGCCGTGCCAGCCGGGTGGGTGGGCCCGTTCCGGTGTCCTCACAGGCACTAGGGAGCCGGGGCAAGGCTGACCTGGGGAGTTCGCTCAGCCAGGGCAGGGAGAGGGGCTGGGGGATGCCCTTGGGGCTGGGGAGCCCAGGGGCATGCAGGGCCTGGCACCACCACACTGTCTGGCTGGGGCAGGGGCTGGGCCGGGTCTGGCAGGGCCTGGCAGCCTGCCCATACTCGGTGGGAAAGGGAAACCTGCCAGGAGTGTGATGGAAAAGCGCAGGAGGGTGGAGCAGGTGGGACAGGGGATGAGCAGAGGCAGGGAGGAGGTTGGGCCATTTTGAAGGACTCCCCTATCCTGCATCCTGTTTGCTGTGGTGTGTTTTAAGGAGGGCTGTGCAAGGAGTTTGGGACATAGCCTGGGCAGGGAAGAAGGCTCCAGGTGGAATGGAGTGTGAGTGATGGCCCAGGACTATACTGATCCCCATCTGTCTGTCCACAGAGGGCCTGAAGAAACTCTTTTCAGGAGCTACTGTGGCATCCTTCCGTGGGGCCCTCGTCACCATTGGGCAGGTAGGACAGCTCTTCTGGGCAGTAGGTGCCTGGTGTAGGGACTGGGGTGGTCCCTAGTGTGGTGAGAAAGGGGAACATGTCACTGATTCACAGTGTCTTTGCAGCTCTCCTGTTATGACCAGGCCAAACAGCTGGTTCTCGCCACTGGGTTGCTGTCAGACAACATTGTCACTCATTTCCTGTCCAGCTTCATTGCCGTGAGCAGAGCTGGGGCTGGGGGGGCAGGGCCGGGGCTTGGTTTGCTTGCAGCGAGGCTCAGGGTGCCAGGCTGGGGCTGCCAGAGCCACCCCTCTGGGCTTGGACTGAGCAGGGCTGGGCACAGTGGCTCTGGGAGGCTCCTGGCCTGGTGTTGGGCCCAGACATGGCTCTGGGTCTCTCCAATGACCGCAGCAGTCGGTGGCACCAGGGTCTTCTGATTCCTCGATGACTCTCTGCAGGGCGGGTGTGCCACATTCCTGTGCCAGCCCCTGGATGTGCTCAAGACCCGCCTCATGAACTCCCACGGGGAGTACCAGGTGAGTCACCCACCCTGCCCACCTCACTGCTGCCCATCCTCCCCTCTCTACACACGGGGCCTCTGCTTCCCAGCCCCTCCCACCTCATCTCTCACCCTCTCGCCCCAGGGTGTTGTCCACTGTGCCATGGAAACTGCCAAGCTCGGACCCCTCGCCTTCTACAAGGTATGTAGCTGGGGGTGTGTGGGGTGGGACAGGCTGGACCTGGCTGGGAGTAGAGGTTGCCATCCAGAACAGTCCTGGGACAAGGGCCTTCCAGGCTCTGCTGTGGTGGCTTGGCTGCTTCCCGCATAAGGCCTTCATCCACCTGGTCTGGGCTTGGCCCCAGGGTAACACAAGCCCTGGCCTCGCCAGGACTGAGCCTGGGCTCAGGCACTGCAGCCATGGCTCTGTTGCACCCATCAGGCTCCCAAATGGAGGGCAGGTGCCAGCACCCATGTGTAGAGCAGATGGGCTGGCATGTGATGCTGAGACCTGTGTGCCCTGTGGTGGCCGCAGTGCAGCAGTCCCTGCTCTGCAGCCTGCGTTGTGTGCCCACCCAGCACTGCCCCATGCCTGCCCACTCGTGCCACTGCCGGGAGCACCAGGGCCAGGCACACACTGACTCTCCCCCTTCTTGCTATCCCCTTCCAGGGCTTTGTTCCTGCTGCTGTCCGGCTCGTTCCTCAGACTGTTCTCACCTTTCTCTTCCTGGAGCAGCTGCGCAAATATTTTGGGATCAAAGTGACCACCTGAGTTAGAGGGATGGGACCCTGCCTCACCCCAGAGGGATGAGCGTGTGGGTCACCCCCAAGATCCCAGAACCTCTCTCTGCTCTCTGGGGCCAGCACCATTCTCCCTCCTTTTGGCCCCATTCCTGTGCCTTGCCAGCACCTGTGGCCAACCCCCCAGACTCCCCTCTCCTCTCACCCCCATTCTCAGTATCTCCATTACCTCTGCACTACTGGTTTTGGGTTTCTTGCGGGGGTTTTTTGCTGTCTTCCTATTGCCCTACTTCTGGCCTTGAGTTCTGTCCTTGCCCCTTTCAGCCCTGTCCCTCACATGCACTGGGAACAGGACTGTGCTATCCCGGGGAGGAGTGGGTTTGGCTGCCTGGCTCTGTACCTCATTGCAGAACACATGGGGCTGAGGGGGCTGGTGCCCCTGCGGCTGTGGGGCTTGGGCTCAGGGCAGTGGGGGTGAGGCCCTGTCCTCCCTCAGTGCCTCTGGCCCCCATGCTCCCCACCAACGCCAGCTCAGCCTGGACCCCCTGCCCTGCTCCTGACCTCCCACACCCTGCTTCTGCTTGGCCAAAACTCCCCAGCGCTGCCAGCTGCTGGGCTCTTCAGGGATTGTGCCTCATACCAATGAGGGCGGGGAATGCACCCCAGCCAGCCCCAGCTCTGGCAGGGCCCAGCAACGCCTGCTCGAGGACCCAGTACTCGCTCACTCACAGCGTGCCCTTGTCAGACCCAGCCTCTGTGGGGGCATCCCCCCATGCTGCTCTGCAGCCTCGCCCCAGGGCTGAGCAACCCCCTGCCCCTCACAGCCCCCTGGCCCTGCACCACCCTGTGTGCAGGGGCTGCGGGCACCAGCCCCTCCGCCGTGTGCACCTCTGTGTGTGCTGGCCCTGAGGGATCAAAGAACTGGAATATCCATGACCTTAATGTATAATAAAGGTGAACGTGGACAGGGCCTGCTGTCCTGCTTTTGAAGTGGGGATGCTGCACCCCCTTTCTGCTGCCGAGGGCTTGGGCTGCAAGCTGAGCCTCCCAGAGAGGAGGGAGAGGAGCAAGGCATGGCCCCTGGCACCGTGCCAAGCAGGGGATCTTCGCCTTGCTCTACCCACCATCCCTGGACCTGTGCAAGGGGAGCTGTGGGCAGGCTCTGGCCAGTCCTGTGCCGAGCTGTGCCCAGTCTCAGCTGTGCTCTGAGATGGGGCCATGCCAAGGGTGCCCGTCACCTCCGCCGGAGCTGCCTCCTGGATGTGACACTAATTGGGCTCCGGCGGGTGGAACAGAGGCAGCCTGGCACAGCAGAGCAGTGAAAGCTCGTCACCTTAACGAGGCTTAATGATGCTGCCTGGCATTGCCACTCTGGGCCTGTGCCCAGTCCCGGCAGAGGCCATGGGCAGGTGAGTGCAGGGGGAGCTGGGCTCTCTCCTAGTGAGGGGCTGGGGGCTGCCCGGACAGGCTGTGGTGCCTCATACCCCGGCCAGCCCAGCACTGCTCCCACAGCTGGCGGGCACTGCTCTGTGCCATGCGACGGGCCAACGTGGAGTAGGGGAGCAATAGAGCCCCCATGGTCCCCCAGCGGCACAGAGCCCTTCTCAGGCCCACGCCAGCCAGTGCCAGGGATGTTCCAGCTGGGCTGTGGTCCCACCAGCTGCGCCCGCCCCATGCTCCCAGCACGCACATACCCTGTCCCCACGTT